GTCACAGTCCCACAGAAAAAACAAACATGAAATAGATACTTCAACACAACTAATTTAGAGTCACACAAGTTCTCATTGTAAGACAAAAAACAGGGATGAACTCGAAGTTCGCCAATCAAACCAAGTTCACCAAGAATCAAGGTCCTCATAAGAAACATAAAACAGAGAAAGAAATTAGTAACCAAAACAGAACAGGGAAAACATTAGGGTTTATACAGTAAGTTCGAGAAAATGAATGTCGAACAGAAAACTTGATTTTTTCAGTGACAAATCTCGATCGAAGGCTCCTCCCACCCTCAAAGGTGCTCTAATACCACTTGTAAGGAAATGAGCCTCAAAAATCACGCGGAAGCAATCAAGTATTCACCAAGAAAACCGAACCAATATACACAAAGCATGATCGATTTATAATGGGCTTAGAAACAATTCATTATACCCGTCTGTACAATATAGAATCGGCCACAAAAGCCCCAGTAGCTACTACAATGGACTCAATTGAACACATCAATCTACAAGTCGAAACTCCCCCTCAATCACAAAGATAATATCACAAAGATCAATGATTAAAACCAAGTGTTTTAATCCTATCACAAAGAACAAAATATGGAAGAAAGAGAGGAGCAGAATCGCAAAGGCAGAAAACACCCAAAAGCCTTTTCTCGCACACAACAAGGAGAAGAATGAAAAGCATATCCCAAAAGGGACAGTCAAGCTGGTATATATAGACAAACCATCAACCGTAGATCTAATCTTCATCCAACGGTCCAGAGCAACACAATTGGAATATTCGTTGGGCTTGGGTTTTGGGCCTGACGCTAAATTGTGTTATTGGGCAATGGTTTTGATTAAAACATTTCCAGCAGTCTTGGGCTTAGCCCATTTTCATCGTTGCCCCAAGTGTTAGAAAGTGAATGTCACAAATGGCATCACATTCCAACAGACATAATTAATGGATATAAATCTATCGTTAGTTGTCATATCCAATGTTGTCCAGTATATGTTAGTGGACATTTTATTTGGCCGCTATGAGTATAGAGGC